TCTCTGCCATGTTATGACTATTTTTATTAGCTTACCAGTATTTCAGACTATCTACTTTAAACATTGAACACATTATTTAATGATGATCCTACAATCAAAGAGTGCATACTGCAAAAAAACCATGTCATTTGGACCAGAAGTGGCAGAGCTAGGTAGGGACTATTTACTAATTATTCAGCATGTGCAAACAACTTTACCTCCTGCGTGGTAAAGTTGTTTGCATTCATTTTTGACTATGTGATATCATGTAGATTGAAGTTTGGTATACAGAAACCAAAGTTTTCTGAGAGTACATATGTCATTTTAGACTATTTATTTGTATTTACCTACATTTAGCCTCATTTCAGAATGATCCTACAATTAAGGAGTGCATACTGCAAAAAAAACAATATCATTTGGACCAGAAGTGGCAGAGCTACATGTAGAACATTTTTTACCAAGATGGATTACTAATCATTCAACATGTGCAAACAACTTTACTGCACACACGGTAAAACTGTTTGCATTTGTTTTTGACCATGTGATATCATGTGGGTTCAAGATTGGTATACAGAAACCAACAGTTTTCTGAGAGTACATATGTCATTTTAGACTATTTATTTGTATTTACCTACATTTAGCCTCATTTCAGAATGATCCTACAATTAAGGAGTGCATACTGCAAAAAAAAGCAATATCATTTGGACCAGAAGTGGCAGAGCTACATGTAGAACATTTTTTACCAAGATGGATTACTAATCATTCAACATGTGCAAACAACTTTACTGCACACACAGTAAAACTGTTTGCATTTGTTTTTGACCATGTGATATCATGTGGGTTCAAGATCAGTACACAGAAACCAACATTTTCTGAGAATACACATATCATTTCAGACTATTTATTTATATTTACCTACATTTAGCCTCATTTCAGAATGATCCTACAATTAAGGAGTGCAGACTGCAAAAAAAACCATGTCATTTGGACCAGAAGTGGCAGAGCTAGATAGAAATCTTCATTTTTGGTAGATGGATTACTAATCATTCAACATGTGCGAACAATTTTACCTCCTGCACAGTAGGTCTGTTTGCATTTGT